TAAGATACACGAGGTTTATTTATTTTTATCTCTTACGAATAGTCATACTTAGGGTGGGGCGCAGTGGAAAAAATTTAATTGAAAAAGGGCATCGCAAATAGGAAAAGTTTGGGAACCCCTGACTTAACTTATCCATGATGAACAGTGCCCCACCCTTATCTACCTTTAAAACAAACAAATCATTTTGGTACAAATATTTATAAACCTTATTCAAATCATAAGATTTATTTGGAATAATTGCCTCATCAAAATGAGGAATCACTCCTTTTTCTTCTGGCAGCTTGTCCGCTAAGTTAATTAACTCAACCAGTATTTCCATAGAATGATTTTCCTTATTTGGAAAGACAAAGTTTAGACCCCTTTTTAAGAGGAGCGTAACAATAGCATCTATAGGTTTACTGGATAAATTAATGACTTTATTTTTGCCAGAACAAATAGCACTAAGTTTAACGACTTTATTGTTTCGACGATTCCTTGAGCTGATGTTAATGCCTAAATTCCTTAATTTCTTATCATGTTGGAATCTATGAATCGTATCTATCCTCTCCACCATACCGTCTTCCATATTCTGCAATTTGAGAATACCTTGAAAAAACAGCAGATAAAGGGACTATCTAGTCCTTATTTTGGTTCTAATCAGGTCATATAATTTGTCTATACTTTCTTTTAGCCTAGTTTTAACCAAACCACCTGATACATGCTCCAGTTTCTTATTAATGTTAATAGGTAAATCTGGACGCCGTCGAATCTCTTAACCAAAGACTTTCACTCGAATTGAAGCAAGCCTTAGGTTTGGTCGCAGTCTCCTTTAGCTATAATATAGTATTGGTTTGACCACGTTTTCGCAACTTGGTCGGAGCCTCAGGGAACTTACCTAGTCCTGAGTCTTCTCTCGTAGTATTCAAGAAAAAGAACAGTAAAGTCAAGAAATTATAAAAAAATACATTAAAAATTGAAATTATAAAGAATACTCTGGCAGAGGATCTAGGATTAGGTACGTTCCAAAAATCCTTTCGTCACTTCGAACAAGTTGCGAAAACGAGATCAAACGAACACTGGCGGTGAGTTAAAACGAAGTAGAGGGAGAGGTCAAAGTCATAACTTTATAAACCAAAAGTAGTATTGTCATCAGTAGTATATTGTATGAAATACGTACCTTCTGCCAAATGGTGAGATTTTTCTAATAGAGTAATGATTTTGAGAGGAATAGAAGCAGAGATATAAGGGAACTACAATATTGCAGTCATGACATGGCGAAGATATTAAATACTGATTCGAGAATAGGTTGTGATAATCTTAATATCTCCGAACATACTCCGAATTCGGGACTAACCGACAGTAGTGAAAGGATATTGTTATGAAAAAAGAGTATGAATATGCAGTCATTTCGAGGGTCATGTTTTTAAATTAACGCTTAACTGCAAACAAACAGCAGAATTGTTAATTAATAGAGCATTTCAGCCCACTAAAATTAATAAGAGAATTTTCGAGTTTACCATATAGCTATATTAAAGCTATCGGCCTCAAATGTGCTTGTTCTAAGTTAATATGTAGTATGTATGAATGTATGTATACATTCAAATACGTATGAACTTGTGTTTCTGTAAGCGTATGTATTAAGATTGAGGTTCATTTTCCTGATGCCTCAAACTAACGATGTACATAGGGGAAGGCGCTTTGTTTTCAACTTTTTCTGGAATATCCTTTCAATAGGCACAATTCTGTTTGC